CGCATTCTTTCCGTGATGCTTTTTCGAGCAGATTTCTAAAACTAATGGATGTTTCAAAAGGTCAGGTGGAAATGTTGGATAAGCTTCATAGATGTCGTTATGTTAAAAAAATAAGGAATTTAGGCATTATTTTTTATCTTATCTATCGATCGTAGCCCCTTTTAAAAGTGGTTTAAACCTTACATTTTAATAGACAAGCTGCCAGATGAAGTTAAAAGTAGTATAGGAAGAGAGTTTGTTCCTCATTCTGACCGGGCGAGAGCGGAACTTCAGTCCACCTTGTATGAGACCAACTTTTGGGAAAGCAAGACTATGTGCAATTCAATGGAAATGTCAGCTCTACTCATATTATTGTCCTTTATCACCCTAAGAAACTAGGGTGAATACATCTCATATAATTCCTTTATATTCCTTCCCTACCTTGATCCAGCTTATATTTTTATCCTATGTTTTGTTCAAGGTCAATTTCGCAAATATATTCTTTATTCTTCATTAAAAATGCTTTTATTTCCTCTGCGTTCCTTTTTATTAACTCAAAAATATTTTTGACTATTTTACTTTATTAAATTATGCATTATCGTTACATATTTTTGTTGGCGCTCTGCCATTTCTTTTCATTTACACTTTTTCATTCGAGGTTTATTCATATTATCATTTATTGCAGTAGACGTCAACTGTAAGAGCTTCCTCAATTCATTTTTCCAACCCTCGACTTCGTAGACCCGATGTTCTATAGAATAGATGAAATAATCATTCGTTTTAGCTCTTCAGCTACTGCTTCTCCTTTATTCATACCCTTAAATTAATAAATCGTCTCAGGGATTCACGAGGTGTAAGGAAACTATTATTTAAGCCAAGGAGATTACTATCTCTTTATATTAAAATATGTTCTAAGCACGGCTGGCGAATTTAAAAGCAGGATTTATTTTTCCAACCATATCATGTATAGATATTAAAAAAGTACGAGACCTGTTACGGTCTGTCATTATCTCTTACACATAATCTTTCTAAATTCCTTTTATATTTTTTTACTCTAATAGGGTATGGACCGATGCGGCTGAAGCACTTCGTATTACTATTAAGATATCCTTAGCTAATGAGCTAAGTTAACTGTTGGGTATACGTTTACCAAATTTGCTTGCAGCAAGGAATTTGTGGCAGCATCCTCGATGGCCTTATAGTCGCGTAATTCTGTTACTTAAATCAGAACAGTGAGAATTTCGACTTTCCTTTCCAGGCCAAGCGGCTGAGGCTTGGGATGGATAATGTTCTATATATTGGAGGCGAAATAATTAACTTTTTTGTTCCTAAGAAGATATTTCAATATTCTTTCCAAGTTTATTTCCTTCTTTTACCTTTATGAGTTGCAAATTACCTAAACAGGAGCTTATAAATACGTCGACTAAATATTCATATCCAATTTTTTCCATTTGAATGTTTGGTTACAGGGCACTCATCCATTTAGTCAATTTCTGGTGGACGGTATAACTACAGTTTCACAGCAGATATCTCAACTGGCTGGCCCTCCAGTTCGCCTTCTTGGCGACCTCATAACCGATACGGTTGCTCCCGACTACTGGCAGCCAAACTCTGACATCCGAGAGTGTACTGTTTGTTCCCGCCAATTCACAACCTTACTGCAAGAGCCAACAGTTCCTAAGTCGATTAGAATTTCTAGTTCGACTAAAGAGTCTTCTGATGATTTGACAAATGATACAAGCAGTGAAGCGCAGCCAACTCTAGGCCAACATAAAGATAGAATTTCCAGCCTAGCTCCAGCTGGTGGGTGGACGGTAGAAAGTATGCATGCCGTGTAAGTCATCCTTTATATATAGATAAAACAATACTTGAACATTCATTTAGAGTAATGTTTCAGTAAAAATTGTCACGAGGTGGAAATACATTTTGAGGATATAATACTTCGATCTGTAGCTGGCTCCAATTTAGCCTTAGTTTCGGGATGGATGCTCACACTTCTAGAGCTATCTAAATCCTGCTCTTGTAGTGACTTCACTCTACAATCATTTTGACTACATTTCACGGTCATCTCTCGATTCACCCAATACCCAGCGAAGCATGACTCACCTGCACTATGTCTCATGGGGACTAGGCGAATCTATTCACCACACCGAGTCTCTCCTTTGGGCCAATCAGAACGTGGCACTAAAAGTACACAAGTGTATTTAAAGTAGGAAACTAGCTCGATTGTGAACTGTGCTCCAATTGCCCCGCCTTACGCCGTCGTCATTCTCTATGACCTAACACCGCCCTCTTGCCCCATGCCACACTCCAGCATCGTCTGAGTTTTTCCCACATCGAGGTCATCGCCTGTAACTTTCCGTCTTATATTCAAGGCAGTCTGTGACTCTTATTATTGTTCCTCTATACAAGGCTGTGGTAGTCTATACGGTAGCGCGAAGCCGAGCACATATCTATAGTGAATATTGTTCTGATTCTCTAAACCCTATTACTAAAGTATTTTTACGCATTAGACTTATTAGTCATCACTATTTACTCAATTATGGCTTAGTATGGTTTCTTATATGGCTTTCAATAAAGTTATTTCGTTATGCCCACTAAACATTTACCGGCATTCTTCAAATGCTGAAAAACTCGTATGCATTCACTACAAAGTTAAAGACAATGACTTAGTGAAATTCACTTATACGCATAATTGTTGATATCTACTTATATTTTCTTCAAAAGTCCCCCGATTTTTTGGCTGTAACACTGACATAATCTGGTTTTGATTCCCCTCCACTACTTAGACACTTAAAGTAGAATGAAGTAGCCAACCAAGTTTCACAGTTCGGAATAGTAAATGAACGTGGTTGCAACACCTTTCTTGGTTAGGTGTTTATGATGAATTAATGATGGTTTCTGGCTCTTACAATGCCTGCCACATGACAGACGAAAGTTAAGCACTGAATACTCGAGGCCACAGGACGATCAGCCTAGGTCTTCTTCGTCCAGTCCAGTAGTCACAACTTCATGGCAATCCTTCTATGTCTAATGACGCCAATTTACGAACCTTTTCCACCCCCTTTTCAAACAACATGAAAGGTATAGAACATCATTATAATAAGTAATGCTTCGAAAGCCAGCTTTCCTTCACATTACTTTTTTTTCGGTCAGGCAAGACAAACTTTCCCTTCTAAATGACTTCATACTAATATTTGATTGATTTGTCTTTATAAAACCGGTTAGTATACATAAAAATCGTTAAAATAAATAATTTTAATTTTCCCGTAACCCAATCAGTGTTGCTTATTTTAAAACGTATGCTGTTTTTCACGGTAAGATTTAGATTAAATCAGAAATCATATACATATATTTATGAAGAAAAACTGGGTTTCGAAGAATTCCTTAATGAACTATTGTGTCATGATTCTCCATTTCGAAGGGAAACTTGGTTGGAAGGAATTCGTGATGTGGTTTCACCGGAAACCCAAAGAAGATTACTGTGTAGGGAAGACTGTGGAATTGTGCGAATAAGTCCACGGCTCACCTTCCTGCGTCCCCGATTAAACTGTGCTAAGATTTCGTCTGTACTATGACAGACATCATCAGAGCAAGAATCCATACTTTACGAAATAGGGCAAAAATATACTAAACCAAGATGGTGGGCCGAGGATTTCTTTACGCAATTCAATAGTCTTTCTACGCGGCAATTCTCCGTCGGTTTTCGGTGAGACCACATCACGAATCCCTTCGAAACGGAGAGTTATGCCACAAATACATATTTAGTCATAAAATCCTTCTAGAAATTCTTATCTATTCTGTTAATATTTTTGCATTGAATTAGCCTATCATGAATTAATTGGATTAGTTTATGGATGAGGTCATTGGATGCTTGATTACGATCATGAAATTAGATGGAATAAGTTAGCTTGATTGCAGCCCTTCAGCTTAGTTTAGTGTATTGATGCGCTTTATTGTAAATGGGGATTTCTTGCTCTGAAGATGTCAGTTACATGACAGACAAAAGCTCATAGCTGATTCATGAGGTTTGCGAATGGTAAGAATATCCCAACGTTCTTTAATCCAAGGCAATCCTTCTTGGAGCCACTTCATGAATCTCTTCAATAAATCATTTTCCTTCGTTTCCATTTTAATTTCCTAGGTTTTTATTAAGCTAAATTCCGACCTATTTTACCTAACATTTATTAAAGATACTCTTTTAGGGGCATCCAGCGTTTATTACTTCCTTGATTCATATAACTGAATAAAGGATGTAATATGGAAAGAGGAGCCTAGTTTCACACTGCGGCAACTTCTCAATGTGTATAAGTGTACACATTTTTTTATCTGAAGTCGATTGTATGCCGATTTCTGTATTTTCCAACCATTCTAACTACCTGCCTTATTAATTTTGTATGAATTCTCTCCATAGCCTACTTAATGATAGGACTCTTGATTTACTCTGTCGTTCTACTAAACCTGTTCTTCACGATACGTTCGACAATTGCGTTTATGAGCTCTGAGAACACCTGCATGTGAATTGTAGGCTAGTGTTGAGATAAGCGATTATAAACGAATTGTCTTTGGCCAAGTGTCTTATTTATGCTCATTTGTCGTAACAATACCATTCTTTTCTATGGATGCTGTTTAATAAGAGTTTCATGAGTGTGCATCTTTAAAAGTCACTACATGAGAATTGAGCGTTTTATTTAAAGTTAGACATTTATTGTGTATTTTTTAAGAAAAAAATTGCTTCATCAAAACTTATTTTAAAAGTTAATTGCATCCGTGCATAATCTTTATCTATATTCTTGTTGCGGTTGTCAAGTTTCCATACAAAATAACTTTATTCTTTCGTTGGACAAAACTGATATACTCAGGAAATATCTCATCTTTAATTTTTCCTATAGTTTTGTCGAACTATTATGAAAATGATTTTTGATATGCGAAGGAGCCAAACCGCTTTTCTTCAATTTACGAGTCAATTCAATGTGATGGCAAGAATCTAAGGACTCAAACAGTAGCAGCAGGAAATAAATATATAATCTTATTTTGATAATGGGATTACCACTAAATGCACAATGCTTTTTTCTATTGAATATGACATTATAACTTTCACGAATATCAGGCTTAACTGATCTATCGTCGCCACAACGTAAGTTTAATTACTTATTACAGGAGAGTTGGACAGTCTGTGTATGCTCTATTATCTACTATTGTATTTGCCCAACA